ATGGTGATTCTTTTCCACAGTTCCTCTAGTGACTAGATCTGTAAGGAACATATAAAGAAGCTTCAAGCATTGTTTCTTCTGGGAAAATTCTGGCATTTGTTGTATACCTCATTTTGAAGTCTTAACTGTAGCATAATTTAAATGCACACAAACACACAAACTGTTTCTTTCTAGTGACCAATCTGGGTGGGGGTTGGAGGGGGAACAAGAGAGAAGACAAAAAAAAATAAATTTAAAACCTCATCACATGTAACTGACTTGCAATCTGTAGAGCAGGACCAGAACCTTCAGAGAACAAAGATGACTGCTTGAGTTTATGCAGTAATTGGCATCGGGAATAGCTGTTCCTAAAGGCAACCAGCCAGTAATTTGCTGGTACATTTCACAATCATTTGCTTATACCAGAAAAAATTTGAGCCTCAGGCATCCTGATTCTGCAGAGGACTGTGACCAAATCTCTTTTTCAGAATTTGATCCCCCTATTTCTTCCCCTTTCACCTCCATAAATTCATCCTACCTTCATCTATTTACACTTTTGCATTGACGTAAGGTATTTTTCCTCCTGCTTTTCTATACTACTGCAGCAACATTAGCAGGGCACAGAGAGGGATGGAGAGCCTGTCCCTGTCCTCCTTTTAAGTAACTAGAGTAAACAAGAAAAGGCCCTCCCAGTTTGCAAGCCTGGCAAGGTCAGTGCTGAGCTGATTGTGGTGGAAACACATGCACAGTCCCCTCTATCACCACAGAAGGGCACCGAAATGGGACAAGCAATGCTACAAGCTCTTCTGTGGTACTATCTCAGAGCCCCATCCACTGACCAATCCGTTTATAACTCATTCAAATGAACAGCACATGTATAGAAACACTAACAAACATATTTCTAATACTTGATGGAAACCACCTTTTCCCCTATTCCCTGTTCCACAGAATAAAAGAACCACAGAGATTCTCAGATAAATGGCTGGGAAACTTCAGGAGAGAAAGAATGTGGCTCTGACTTAATCATCCTCTTCCAAACCCTTCCAAATGACCAAACTGCTTACAGTAGAGTTCCCTGACTTTTTTTCAGGCACAAACAGGCACACAAAAATTTCAACTGTAAGACACCTAAATTGCCAACATTTTTAGCAACTCAAGGCAAGCACTTATAGAAAAAAAAAAAAAACTTTTTTGGCAGTTACCAGCTCTGCCTACAAATCTAGGTATAGAGGAAATAAATTATTGAGAATAACATCTCAGCAGCATGGCTGCAGGACAGTTGAGCCTGATAATAATAGTGAAGCCATAACCAAGTAGACTGTATATACAACAGCTCAGATGAACTCTAGTAAAACCTTTATGTCCTACCATATCATCACTCATTTTCTTTTTGCTAGATGTGTCTGAGAAAAATGCTATCTAAGGCATTTGGTATTCAAGACTAGAAGCCTTAGAGAACGCTTTCGAAGTTTGAAGACAGTGATAAATTTATCAGATGGTTCTGCCATTTTTAAAATAGATGGACATGCCTTTTGTGCATGTGTGCAGGAAAGACTCCTCTCGCCCACTATACATAAAGCTTCTCTCTGCTCATACGCTACTAAACACTGTCATGAAATACATTGGTTGGTTAACAAGAAACAGAAATACCAGTATAAAATTCAGAGACTGAAGAATAAGCAGCATTTCATAACAGCAGATGAAATTATCACTTTGCCTTCATCTGCTATCAAAGTTAACAGTTGCTATATTGCCACTAAATAAAGATGGCGAAAGCAAGCAGAACAGAGAGCAAATACAACTGTTTATTTATTTAGCCAGAGGATCTTTTGTGTGGTATTTAGCTTATCGGTAAATTTTCCTATTATGTCTTCTACATGGGAGAACATCTCACAAAATCAGAAAGGGTGGAACTGTGTAAATAGGGGGAGCTTTTTCCTCCTGTATTTTGTTTAAAAATACCAGTGTATCATATCAGCTTCTCTGCTAGAAAAAAATTTCTGTTCACTTACATCACAGTGGGAAAGTATAAACAACCTTCAAAGCAAAAAATATTTTGAAGGAATTTATCTATTACTCTTTTTAATTGAAGATTTTTAACCACTGTAGCACAACACAATATATTTTACAGTTCCTATTAAGCATCAACAAAATTGCTTTGCTACAGTAATACAAGAGCAAATAGGATTCAAGAGAAGTAATCTAATTTTTTATCTAATTCTAGTAATTTGATTTTATCAGACCTTAGCTATAGCTGTGGAAATCAGAGTCACAGTGCTAAAGTATTCTACTTCACAAGCCAGCATAAATTCAAGTACTTCATAATCTTCCTTTATATTTTTCAGATGGGTGTGAATATCCTGGGGGGAAAAAAAAGTAAATTCCTATATCCTGGTCAAACCACTATTTTGTGTCTCTGTGTGTATACCCACAAGCACCTGCATAGCCTTTGGGATTTTTGAATATACAAAAAAATTTACATTGTTCTTGTACATAACCTCCAAAATATAGAGTTGTTTTGTTTTGTTTTGTTTTGTTTTCTGAAAGGTAGAAGGGGAAAAAAGCCAACTGACAGTTATTGCAGCACTTTAATGAGCAAATTGCAAGGAACTTGAGAAACATGCTGGATCCAGTTTATGCAGTGTATTCAGTGTGGTCATATCAGATCCAGACAAAGCCTCTGTAGTACCACATAGCATCATCTATTTAATTACAAAATGTATTGATATGTATTTAACCTACTAATAATGTCATAGTTGTTTTGATCCTCCATGCTGAATCATAAAAGCACTCATCCTAGAGCAGTACTTTGAAACTAAGCATCAATAATCATAGAATCGTAGCATCACAGAATGGTTTGGGCCGGAAGGGACTTTAACAATTATCTATTTGCAACTGCCTGCCATGGGCAGGGACACCTTCCAGTAGATCAGGTTGCTTAAAGTTCCATCCAACCTGGCCTTGAACTCTTCCAGGTATGGAACATCCATGACTTCTCTGGGCAACCTATACCAGTGTCTCACCACCCTCACAGAAGAGAATTTCTTCCTAGTGTCTAATCTAAATCTACCCTCTTTTAGTTTAAAACCATTACCCCTTGTCCTTACCCCTCATCCTATAAGCCTCAATAGTCACTCCCCAGTTTCATATACAAGGTCTCCCTGAAATCTTCCTTTCTCCAGGCTGAACAACCCCCACTGTCTCAGCCTGTCTTCACAAGAGCAGTGTTCCAGACTCCTGGTCATCTTCCTGGCCCCCCTTGCTGGACTTGCTGCAACAAGTCCATGTCCTTCTTATGTTGGGGGCCCCAGACATGAATACCAAATTAGGTTATCAGCTGCATTTAACTCTAGAAGGCAGCAACAATCTTGCACTTTGCAAATGTGTCATTAGTTTTTCTTTTTCCTTTACAATACTAGAAAGAGCTTTGATATTCTGAAATATGTCAGAGAGTTCCAACCAGAACCCACTACCTCTAGAGAAAGTGCTGTCAATTAGAAGTAGACTCCAATTGTCACAGCTAAGCAATTTCTTAGACTGAGGGGATTCTGAGTGAGTTCATGACACAAGAAAAAATAGTTAATGTAACACGTCAAAATTAAATTGTCAGTTGAGGTGTCACAGAGTAAATGAAGAGATTTCACTCTCCTGTGGAAAAAATAAGACTAATCATTCAAGGGCTACAGTGAAACAAAGACCTGTATGCCTCAGCATATAAAGGACTGGATTTGTCATGAAAAATTCTTTGGGTCCATATACTTGGGGTTTTTTTTGCAAGCAGAATCCTAGAAACAGCAGTGCTCAGATTTAAATTGGATTTTCAGAGAGCTGTTTTTCCTGTGGCAGACAGTCAGAAATCCTGCTGACGATCCAATTTACAAGAAGCAGATGATGTCATTCTGATAAAGCTCTCTTCTAGTTTCACATACCCAAGGGTTCAGACAAATTCAGACTTTCTGCTTTTTGAGAAATACCCAAAAAGGTTGAGATCCCAAAGACTGGAGGGAAATAGAAAGACAAGAAATGGAAGTACAGTATTTATGAAGTTCATTTTCATATACTAAGCCAAGTGTCTGTGTGTATATTCTGGTGTGTTCAGGAAATTACATGCATGCTGCATATAGTGAAGCTCCTTGATTCCTATAGGCATACAAGAAGAGCACTGAAAATCACACCAATGGACAAAATGCTGCAAGTAAAAGGACAGTCTTTATTTGTTTGTTAATTTCAAAACACTATTACATTTATAGAATATTATTTTAAAAGACCATAATATATTCATTCAAAATTAGGCTGTTAAGCTTATAAACTCTAACTTTTCATACACAGAATGAAAGAAAACTATATTTTACAAATAGCTATTTTTAATAGACCTTTGTGAAAAACATGTTTAAAAATAACTGCCAAAATCTGTCTCTTTAAATATACAAAACAATCTTGCTGTACCAAAGGTATCTTTCTTTAAAGCCAAAAATATCTGTCAACACCGAAGTCCACATCAAACCCTACTTTAAGCAGTAGTGACATAAAAATGTAAAAGTACTGTACAAAGTAAGAATAGCTTTTATTTCTCCTAATACTATACATTGTTGTATTTGTTTTAAAAATGTTTTATAAAAACTGCTATTATTGAACTTACCCTTTCCTGTCTGCAGAAAAAAATGAGCCACCAAAATGATCTCTGTTTACTAAAATGTCTCCTCTTCTGAACGTGAATCTTCTCCCATACTTTAAAGAGAGTTTTACCACTTGTTTAAATGTGAGCAGGACTGAAAGTTTTTTTCAGCATATCACTGAGTAATACCTCTTACTCTCATTTGGTTATCCCCTTAGTTTCATAATGCAAAACATTAAAAAATCTTTAATACATTAACTGAGGAAATCAGAACTTAAGTACTTCAGTTTGAGAGGCTGGTGTATGGATTAGTTCATTGCAAAACTGAGCATTCAATTAAACCAAAATCAATTGCAAATAATGCTGCATGCTTTTTAATCAACATCCCTCTCTCTTTTTGCTTCCTTTATAGCCCCTTCTGGCATTTCTTCTGGAATGAGCTTTTTAAGAAGGTGCGGTAGCCTGGATCATCCACATACTCATTCCTAAAGCGGGAACTCAATACTCTCTGCCTCTTCTTCTCTCCCAGGGTAGTATCTATTCCATAAAATGTGTCTTCAAATCTCATGTCAGATGCTGTAGACTAAAACCAGATACTAATTACACATGCATCTTCATACAGACCCATCATATTCTGACAAATTCTAGACAAGTTTCATGGAAACATAGATACCATTTCATTAGATCATATGAGCTAGCCACATGACTGATTATGCAATTACAGGTGTTTTCAGGAAAATTTCTAAATATTAAATATAATTTTTAAATGTATATTTGAAAGATAATTTTTACTTTTCTGTATTTTGCATGTACTACTTATTGTTTAATTCTCTAGGTCTGCTATGCTTCTTAGAAATGTGACTAACACTAGTTGTTATTATTGATTTTATCCCCAGGTCATACAATCACTCTAGTTAAAGGTGAAAAACAGCAGCATGGAAGTGATGAAATTGTTGGGTGTATTTTATCTTAGCAGTATCAAGCATTATCCCCCTCTTAGGGTTATTCAGAAAAGTTTTAAATCCAAGGTACTATGGCATGCATGTCTGAAAAGAGAACTGCACGCTGCCTAATTTGCAAAGAAATAGTCACAAGGTTGGTCGTTTGTCAGAAAACTTAAAACAGGAATCAGCTGTAAGAAAGCAGCAGGGCAGCAAACAGCAAGCCATTTGGGAAAAAAGCAGCCCCAAACTTTTGCATCAACTTCCCTTACTAGAGTCATTGTAAAATTCCCAGGATTAGGAAAAGCATAATTTAGAAGGAACTGGTATTATTTACTTCAATAGACAGAAACAATACCTCAAGCTCTCTTTAACACATGCACTGTTTCCAGCATGATGAGGGGAAGGAGGTGTTGAGTATACCTTGAGGACTAAGCTCCATACTATAGAATTTGGGGCAATAGTGGAAAATCATGCTAAGATCTGGGCACAGTCTGTGGTTTGTTTTATTTAGCTGACAAAATCTGGTGGGTTTAACATATACTTAACTCACGTATGAAGTTAATGGGGTCATTTTTTAAAAAAAAAAAAGTTATTTTCTATAAAAACTTCATTTTAAAAAGATTAGCATAAATCCAACTACATTTGTATTTTTATCCTTAGTGAAATGAAATGTTCTACATTCTACAGAATGTGCAGTTAATTATAAATGTTTTATACTCATAGTCTCTAAAACAAAAAACAGTAAAGGAATCATTTCCGAGTATAATGAAAATGCCATTGAATATAACCAGATGGTTCATTTCACATTTTCCAAGACATCTGTCTTAACCCTAGAAGGTCAGGACACTGAAAGATGTGTGCACTTATCCAAAATACCCTGACAAAAAGGCGTCTTAGCCAAGAGTATTTGACCACTGCACCTCCCATTAGAAAGAGTTGTCCTAATCTTACTTTACTCCTTCAATAAAACAGGGCATCTGGCCAGTGAACACTCCCTCAGCACGCTGTCTCACATTTCTTTGTCTCTCTTCCTTTTCCACCTTTACTTCCCCTTTCATACATGATCATAGAATCACAGAGTGGTCGAATGGCTTAGGGGACCCCTAGAAGGGACCCTAGAGATCATCTGATCCAATCTCCTTGCCATAGACAGGGACACCTCTCAACAAGACTAGGTTAATGATGCAAATCCTTTCCTTCCACACACTCCCATCTTCTGAAATATACAGCATCCACGCTGGGGTTGGCTGTTGAGAACTGGATGAAAGGAAATGTTGATAATAACAAAGATGACAGATACATATGGCAAGAACCATAGAAAAGAAAATTTGGACTAAAACCTTCTTCAGTTACCTTGCCATGCAGTATTATGTTAGTCCATCAAATTCATATAAGCTGACGTATGCCTGAAGATCATCAACTCTACACATCATTCTCGTAAAACACCTGGCACACAGCTCTTGAGAATCAGCTAATTAATGTCAGATAATAGATGTGTGAACAGGTATTATGTACGAGTCCACCTCCCTGCAGCAATGAAAACATACTGTATACTGCTCTCCCTTTCAAAACTTCACTAAAAGAATTCTTCAAGTGAGAGCAAATTTTTTAATCACAACAGTGAATTATTGTTTGTTCTCAATAGTGACAAGATTTTTGCTTCCTTATGCTTTGGTTTTACACATTAAAAAATACAACATTTAATTTGCAATGCAGCTTTGAATAAACAGCTCTAAAACAGAACATGGGCATGAGAAGAATGTGGTGCTCTTCTCAGTAGACTTGGTAATGGATTGAATCACACAATATTTAGAATTAATAACAAAGACACGTTAGCAGCAGTTGTCTGATCTCCTCTAACGAATTCCCCTTTTCAAACTTTAAGTGTTGTGCTCTTTATGAACCTCAACGCTTTTCCATATGGCATGCATATAAACAACTACCTGGTGGATGTTATTTGAAGCTCCAGAAAACTTAAAAAAATAAAGCAAAGACTTGGTTTCAAACCAAAGACTAATGAAATGCTGATGAGTTCTGCCAGTGATGTTAATGAGTTCTGATCAGGCACTTTGCTTCTTAGAGCAAATTGATTTCAATTTTATTAAATTCCATGCTTTTAAAGTCATAAAGCCCCGAGAACTTGAAATATTTTTTTTAAAAAGTATATGCATGTTATAAGCATACTGAAAGAACAGAATGTCTGTCAATTTAATATTTACTAACTTCATAATTCATGATCTGACAGATGATTGACCCAAGATCTTCCTTTTAGGAGAAAAGCAAAGAAATGTCTGGCTTGACAGGAGCAGTTTTGCTTGTGCTGGAAGAACAACTCACCATTCTCACTAGCAAATGGACACTTGTGCTAATCGTTATGCTGATTTAGCCAGTCATATTAGTACAGGCTTCACAAAAGATTTGTCTTATTAGAACTGAAAATCCAGAATAAATCAAAGGATATTGTCACTGGCATTTTTACTATATATACGCTAGAAAGTTACCAACAAATACTCACAAGACGTGCTTTTACTCTCTTAGGAAGCTCTTCATCTAGTGTATAGATCTCTTCTCTCTTCATTACAATTTGAGAACCATCTTCAAACTCAACCTAATTGAAAAAATGGGTATTTAAAAACAAAACCACAATTTAAATTTCCAGGGAGTTTCCGAGATGAAAACATATGTGCAAACACAGCAGATTTATACAGAAATATTTTGCTATCTCTTTTAGGAAAGAAAAATTAGGATAAAACATTAAAAAATCTTATGTCTTAGGAAGTGCAACACATTTAAAAGTTGCAAATAATATCTAAGCAAAGAGACTTAAAAATCAACACTGACACATATACAGTAAAATTTATTAGATTAAGAATGCCAAGCAGTAACAAGATAGACAACATTATTTTGTAGGAGTGACATATTAAAATGTCTGTATGTCATTTTTATTTGCCTCTGTTTTTTTTTAGTTGCCTCTAATAAATAAAAAATTATTTTTGACATCCTGTGATTCAAGGTTGAGGAAGACCTTGTCAAAAGAAAGAAAGTATGAGTGACAACTAAGGAAATAGCAGTTAACAGAATTTTATTGAATCTGATGGAATTTCTTTAAAATGTTCTGTTCAGAAGATGAAAAGCTTTATCATGCTTAGGTTTAGATTTAATCCAACATGAACCCCGTTAGCAGAAAATGAGAAAGCAAATGTAACTAGGTGTAGGG